TAATCAGTCACCTGACGTAACTATCCTGCAGGTGAATGATGCAATCGCACCTGTAGATGAGCATTCCGTAAGAATTGCTCCAGAGAGGATCCAGAATGTCTCTCTGGAAGGTGATGTTTTAACCATTTCTCTCCACAGGGACTATGTTGAATCTGTAGATCTGGCAGGTCATGCCCAATTCCTTGCCAGAATTGAAAGGGTTAATAACAACTTATTCTTTCCTATTCAGATAAATGACTTAGGAAGAAGTAGGAATGCAAAGCTGGACTTAAAGAGTGAGAACAGCTATATTAGCAGAAGTCTGTTAAAGCAGATCGCTAATCCTAAAATGATCAGGTACACTTCCCCACATGACAGGTGGATCCAGAATCTGGATGGCGAATCAGAGAGTCGCAATGTGATAGCAAAATTTTTACTATCTATTTCCATCGGAAATAAGACCGCTAAACATTTATTCCTAGTGATAGACGAACCTCGCTATCAGGTTTACGTTGGCAATGATGTCATACATCACTTTGCCATACACCTTGACATGATTAATTCCAACTTGTGGACAAGGTTAAAAGGTAATCCTTGTGGATACCTTCACGAGGAAAACGCCCTGAAATCAGGACAAATACTCCCATATGCGGTAAGTATCCAAGTACCTGATGACGTAACCATCCCACAGGGGACAAGTAATTTTCTTTTAATCCTACAGGTCAAGGAGGGTCAGAGATTAGAAAACTCTGATGCCCTAATCTGTTTATCCAACAAGATACAACAATTAGGGATGGTGGTAACACATACACCAATGGTAAGTATTGGTAAGAATCCCACCTATATCATGGTCAACAATGTTACACCCAATAGTGTTACTTTATCAAAAGGAACATTATTAGGTCTAGCATTGGATGCTGAGTACTATACATTTGGTTTCCAAAACCAAATTATAGGCCCCATCCCTGAAGAATACTTAACTGAGGACGAAATTGTCGATCAAATATTCCATTCCTCCCCAGAAGGATTATTCACTATCCTATCTGTATATCCCTTCAACGTTGAAGAAGGCTTGTGTAAAATCGAAGAAGCATCAATCACCTTCGATCATCCGCTCAATGAGCAGGAATCACAAGAGTATCTCGACCAAAGAGGAAAGGTAAGTCAACACCGAACTGACCTAACTTCTAGGCTTGAAGAAGCTTATGAGATAGGCCAGCCTGAAATCTTTCCAGGATTTCAGGAAAGGCTAGAAGAGCAAATATCTAATAATCCTAATGGAATTCCAAGATATTTTTGCCAAAGATTCCTACGACTGTGGGTTAACTAACCTCCACGTAGCCAGAATACAAACTGATCCAAATTTACCACCTGTATTTATCAAACAATATAGACTCCCATTAGCGTCATATGATGGTCTACAAGACATCATTCAGAATTTAAAGGAAAGGGGCATTATACGTCCGGTGCACAGTTCGTATAATAATCCGATCTTGGGGATTCTGAAACCTAATGGACAATGCCGTTTATGCGCTGACTTACGACAGCTAAATAAACGCGTCTATATGTCTGGTTGGCCAACGCCATACATAGACCAATGTTTGGTACAAATGCAGGGATCCAAAATATTCACTGCCATTAACTGTGCGCAGGGATATTGGACTGTACCAGTCCATAATGAAGACCAATACAAATTGGTCTTCACATTTGGAAAGCAGCAGTATACCTGGACCCGTATGCCTTTCGGTTATATAAACTCTGGTCATGAATTCGCTGTGTTCATGCATAAAGCTATGCCTGACGCACTCGAGAGAGGAACGTTATCATATGTCGACGATGTCTTGCTGAAAAGCACTCCCTTTGATAAGCATATCATAGAGATTAGACATGTTCTCACTCAGTTAAGAGAGGCAGGGATTAAACTGTCTTTACAAAAGGCACAATGGTGTCGCACCCATGTCAATTTCCTCGGACATGAGGTAACTTCTGAAGGATTAAATCCCCAGAGGAAGAAGGTTGAAGCCGTACTAAAGGCTAAAACACCTTCAAACATCAGGGAATTAAGATCGCTCCTTGGTATGACTAATTACTCCCGTAAGTTTATAGATAACTATGCAGAAATAACGAAACCACTCTTACACCTGCTTAAAAAGGAAACTACCTGGAACTGGGGGGAGCCTCAGGACCAAGCGGTAAGTGAACTGAGGAGGAAGCTCACTCAGGCACCCTGTTTAGCATACCCAGAGGGGTTAAACCCTTCTATCTGGAGACAGGTTATACCGATTTAAGCATAAGTGCTGTTCTGTATCAGAAGCAGGACAGTTTAAACAAAGTTATTGCATATGCTAGCAAGACTTTGTCGCCTGTTGAAGTTAAATTCAACACGTGTGAGAAGGCATTATTGTCGACTGTCTGGGCACTACAAAATTTTTGTAGCTATATCCAAGGTGAGAAAATAATTGTAGAAACGGCTCACCAACCTCTACAGTATCTGCAGAGTGAAAGAATTAGAGACGGTAATCTCTCTAACAGTCGGATTACTGCATGGACTCTATCCTTACAGGGATGGCCGCTAGAAGTCCGTTATAAACATAATAAGAGAAGCCCAGTTGCCCAAGGTTTAGCAGAATTACATGACTGTACTGCTCCATCTCTGGATGATAATAACACCGGAGATGACTTCCTAGAAGAGCAATTGCTATCCCCTTATAAAGTTTATGACGAGGAATACTGTCGACCACTACCGTGGGTATACATTGATGGCTGTTCATATCACCACGTAGTTGGTACTGAACGGAAGTTAGTTGCAGGTATCGGAATCGCCTGGACAGGTGATTATCCTAATGTATCTATAGGATACAATATTGGTCCCAAAAGCAGTCAGATAGCCGAACTCTGAGCAGTATATAAGACCATTCAAATGGCAATAGAATATGGTATCAAAGAATTTGTTATTATAACTGATTCCAACTATGTTCGCAACAGTTTCGTTGAATATCTGCCTAGCTGGAAACGTAACCAAATGCTGAAAAGCAATAACAAACCTGTTAAACATGGGAAATTGTTTTGTAAAATCGATGAGTTGGTTAAGGAAAACGGTTTAACCATATATTGGAAGAAAACCAAAGGCCATTCTAAAATAGAAGGTATTGACAAGGATGGTAACGACTTAGCCGATTCACTGGCAAAGCAAGCTGCCATCAATGGTGAAACCCTAAATATTGATGATCTTATGGGTTCAATTCACATTGAAGCCATAACTAGACGACAGGCTAGAGATAATGCCGACTTAAATGTCGTGCAATGGAGTCAAGAAGCTCCTAGTGATGACCTGATTACTAGTCAAAAGAACGATCCCGTCATAGGCATATTCTATAGACATATAGAAGACCCTACTGCCAATCCCATCACAGATGAGGATTGTAAAGATAATGAAGATTTACGAATCTTGATGAGATATAAAGTCCAATTTAGTATCATGGATGGGTTACTGGTCAGAACTTCTAAACATGGTATACAACAATGGGTAGTCCCAACTGTATACAGAGGGTTAATGCTCCAACACGTACATGATGCACCTACATCTGGGCATCGTGGTGATAAGATCACATATGAGATATTGCGTGATTATGCATATTGGCCACACATGTTAAGGGATGTTAAGACATACTGTCAGGGATGCTTGATTTGTCCGCAATATCAACCCCATGGTCCAACCCATCGTGCACCACTTCAGAAGAGGGGGTGTCATTACCCTGGTCTGATATTCAAATTGACTTTATAGGTCCTGTAACAAGATCTTCAAGAAGTAACAAATACATGTTAACCGTTACATGTATGTACACAAAGTGGATAGAATGTTTGCCTTGTAAAGAGAACACGAGCACCGTGTGCGCCACTTTGTTGATTAACCATGTCTTTTCCAGGTCCGGTCTGCCTCAAAGAATTGAGTCAGACAGAGGTAGTCATTTTACCAGCGAAGTAATGGCTAAGATGTGGAACATTCTAGGTGTTAAACGAAAGCTACATATTGCATACCGCGCTGCGTCTAGCGGGGGAGGTAGAGCGATATAACCAGTCTATCGTTAATATTCTGAAGAAGTATGTTAAGGAGTCTGGTAAAGACTGGGACATTAAATTGTCCCTAGTTTTAATGGCGATTAGAGCTACACCTAGCACTGCTACCAAATTGTCACCTTTTGAATTGATGACAGGAAGAAAGATGGTTTTACCACAGCATTTACTATATCGTACTTCGGATCATAACTTGATCAGTGCTGCCACTACGCATCAGTATATCGAAGATTTGCGCAAGCATTTACAGCATGCATTTGCTTTTGCTCAAAAGAATCTAGAAAAAGCAGCGACAGGGGTTAAGACCTATTACGATTTAAAAACCACGAAAAAGGAATATGAGATCACAGATCAAGTCTATCTGTATAACTTTGCGCGAAATCAAGTCAAGGAAAATACATTTTTACCTTCTTGGAAAGGGCCATATGTCATCATTGACAAAATTTCCCCAGTAGCGTATAAGATAAAAATTCCTAAGGATGGTGATTTTATTGAAAAGTGGGTCCACATTAACCAGTTGCGTGCTTGTCATCCTAAATCTCAATTAAGGATTATAGGTGCGGATTCGGATGCAGAAGGGTGAACGACTAACCTGGATGAATGCTTGATTCACGTGGTATCGTATGATGTGAATTGTTGTGATGTGCCATGATCTCATGTACGTTCATGTCATTAACCATTTCCTTGCCATCCAATAACTACATTTTCTAAGCAGGTTACTAGCTTGTTTAACTGCTATAGGCGGAATTACTGAAGAGTCAGTAATAAATGTAGTGAGGGATGAAGTTATAAAAATAGAATTAAAGAGAATACATATGTTATGAATCGTAATAATGTGTTGTCCTAGGCCAAGTGATGTCACACTGTTATAAGTTTGTATGCTTAACAAACCTTGAATCATTAGTAGATAAGTCTGAAACGAGTTCCTGATCCGTGACTGTCGAAAGATGTCCAAGAAGGCTGTGGCGTGTTTCTGGATCGTACTGCTCCTGTGCCAAGAGCTACGGACCGACCCGATCGCAGAGATGGGACCATCCTCCGGCATCCTGATTCAAGAGACACCAGGGTTCATCTTGACAGAGAAGAGGATCCTGACCTGACGTGTGTTCGTCAGCTTGGACCCCAAGATTTCCATCGAGAAGGCATACAACATTTCATCGATGCAGCTTCCTGAGTTACAGACTTGGTACCAGATGCACCTCCAAAGAGCACAGGACCGTGTGCGAAATATCTTGGAGCAAGCCCGGAAACCATTTGTATCCAGTTCTATTCCGATGAGCAACCGACCAAAAAGGTTCCTCACCGCTATAATTGTTGCATTAGTTTGTGCCACTGTCGGTGCAGTTGTCGCAACTGGAATGTCTGCAGCCAACTCTATTACTGTCCAAAGCTGGATATGGAAATCTATGCGCTAAAGCAACACATTAACGATATTCATCAGGTGATAAACCAGCAAAGAACACTTCTCCAAGACGTGTTAACTATTGTGGAAGACACAGTTGTTACAACAAATTTGCATTCGGAGTTAATTGCCAAATCCACTGAGTTGCACCAAAGTCATGACTTATTTAAGCGTGAACTTCTATTTCTGCATGACCCAATATTGTTCCACACACTTGCTTTTCTTGACGAAGTGCAAACTGGAATGATCGAATTGGCAGGGGGACGCATACCTCTGTATTTTGTATCCAAGGATATTGTTCATGCAATGCTTGCCAATGTGGATGGAGAAACAGTTGAACCTATGCAATTAAATCTGGCCCTTGAGATGGGGAGCGCTATACCTCTCTTAATTGATCCGGAACGTATGGAGATTTGCTTTTTATTGGCCATACCATATGTAACTCCCAAAGACATTTTTCAAATGAAAACAATGTACCATGTTAATAATGATATTATGGTTGATTGTACTAAGTGTAAAGTTCAAAACTCTTACAGGTATAAATATATACAAAAATGTTCATTCCACGCTCGGGCCTATGTTAGAAATGATGTGATTGCACAATATGTCTGGTAACTTCTATAGTGCTTATTCATAAGCTAAATAAATTTTGGCTACGAAATGCACTAAAGGGGGGTTATGTCAGGGTATTTATATCGACAGACATCTTGTGCTATGATAGAAATTAAAAGTGTATATTCTGAGTCACTTTGAACAGACCAGACTCCATTTTGTTATTTTCAAGTTAACAAAAGACACAAGATTTCTTTCTGTAAAACTAACCACTTTGCCAGAGCTAAAGGAATGCATAGTATAAACAAACCAAGTGATAAGAAGAACGGGGGTTGGATAGACTGTCTAAAATGCTAATGGAATATAATCAATTCTAAACCCAGACATTTGTGACAGAGAAGATTCAATAATTTAATTTTACTGTCTATATATGTATAAGGTACCATTGTAAGAAAAGGTTAAACTTAGTTCATGATCTGCCATATCAGAAATTATAGCAGGAATTGCGGACACGAAGTCTGGACAAAACTTAAAGAAACCCTTTGATCTGAAGGGATACGTAAGTTATAGCAAAGATAAAGATAACGCAAAATGACGTCAAAATAGCCACCAGGAAAAGTTAACTCTTTCCTGCATAGGTATGTTTAGTGGGACAAGACTGCCCTCTATAGACCAAATAACTAAATTGCGATCTGGAAGATAACCACACCTCTAGTGCTTCTATTGGGTTATCAACTGATGACGTACAGAGAGTCTGGCCCTTTAAAAGTTAGGACAAAGGGAAGATAGGGGGATGCAAAGGAAGAAAAAGAGGAGAGAGGAATTGGAAGTGTGGGGACTCCAAATCGGACATGCAGAGAAACCCAGGACAACATCTGAGACTAACACTCTACTCTTAAAACTCTAACACTTAGAATTTTACTGACTTTCTAACCAACACCACCTTTCACCATAACTCATGCACCTACAGACATCCAAATAAGTTCCTGAGACTATCTACCAATCGGATGAAATATCTTCTCAACTGGTAATTATACTGGTTTCATTTAATTAATTAAATTAATTAAAATGTATTAATAGCATTATATATGACTGGATAAAGCACGGTCAGATTTCCATATTAAGAAATCTTAGTTAACTAAGAATATAAAGTTATAAACATTCCATTCTGCAGGTGGAATTAAGAATAATTATATATTAATGTGATATTATCACGTGTTAGCATACCGCTGTTTTTATCCAGGTGTATTGATTTGTTCTAAATTAAGATAAGATATCTTTTAGACAAATTAAAAACAAAGTCTGCTTATATATTCATGGTAGATTCTCTTATTGGATGGTTCCAGGAAATGACTAATGAACTGGTTTAAATGTTATTTTATTTAAAATTACATAAGAATAGATCCTAATTACTTAGGAGATCTAGCCAGCATTGAAAGGGTTATTCTGTTAGCCAGGGTTTTATGGCCCTTCGCTGTGAAAAGTTTTCCTTTCAGTCTGTAAGGATACCTCATAAATCGTGTAAGACTTGACAGAAAATGCTGTTTAGCCATTGAAACGTGTATAGCCATTCCTTTGTATTGCATACCATTTTATACTGGAAATTCATTGATTATTGTCACGCATGTTACATATTATTATTATTAATTAATTTGTTATTATAAAATAAAATCTATTTTTATAACATTGTGATTTATTTATATGAAATACTTCTCACTTACGATAACGATCTTTGGATCTGAGAATTGAATTAGTGGGCAATTCTCACTGTTACTATTATTATCCCATAAATATCCCCACAGTGCAAATAGCTTGCACTGGAGAGACAAATTAAACTGTCTGGTCTTACTACTCGCCAGACTTTTTCAGGGAATACGGTCTGGCTATCCACTGAACCACTTTGGACCATATGCCAGTACCTTTTAACACTGCAATGCATTTAACAACTTGAAAAAAAATAACCTATGACATGACACTGACCTGTTTTATATCCATACATACTTCAAACTAGGACTATGGAACTCCGTTATATAATACAGATTGAATGATTCCCCATAATTTCAGTCACGGGTAGGGGAGACCCCATAATTGGCCCTCAGTGTTAACAATTTGACTGGGGACCCACGGAAGGGTGCTGGCCGATACTCCATTGGGCGATGGGACAGTCCCGAGTGGGACATGTGAAGGGGTGCTGCCCGAAGTAGCTCAACGTAGGTTATATGTCACAGCCCATCCATCCTACAAAAAATCTTTCTTTTCTTTTTTCTCATTATTTTATCTATTTATGTAGGTTTTTACCTTGCTACTTTAACTCTTAAGGAGAGCAGCGGTACATATGTTTGTTTAATATAAAATCTGCCGTCACCGCGTGACTTGAGGACCCAGAACGTAGTCGATCTATCGGTCCTGTATTTCCATCCCCCTAATTCCACCTAATGTTCACGTTGTCCCGCTCTCCTATTTATCTTCCACTCCACCCATATGAGGTTGGGCATCTCGTATCAACGCATACCGTTTCCACTGTGAACTCCTCATACCTGTACCATGTGTGAGTTAGCAGAACATATAAATTGTGATATCATTCAAAAAAAACCTCCCTGGGGTAAGGAAATGAAGCACCGCCTGCGCATATATAGCAGGCCCTGAGGCTTCAACCGATGGATCCATGCCGGGCAGCACTCCATGTCCCCACCCCCCCGCCCCACCACCACTGGGATGCACATGCGACGCCCCTGCCTTCTCCGGCGGGCGTCGCCGGTACCATGTAGGCTAGTCGCCTATGCCACAAAGAACCACTCGAAAGGGAAAATACAATATTCCAAAAGTAGCATCAGTAGCCTATGGTCCATAGTCCAGCCATCCGAATGGGCCGTTTCAAAGTCCCATGCGTTTTCTTTTTTTTTTTTCTTTCTTTTTTTTTTTCTTTAAATTAAGCCGAACTCCCGGTTATGAGTATGTGTTCCGGGATATCCCATAACCAAAGCGACCGCCCAACCTAACTATCATCCCGTCCCCTTCGGAGCAACTCTTCCCTTTATCTATGTGCCCACCAACCAGGGTCCCCCATCCCAACAGCCCGCTATAAACCCCGTACATCTCCCCCCCGCTATATACACACTGTCAATATACATATACGATACCCTCCTCCAGCCTCAATGGTCTACGGCTCAGGTATGCTGCCACTCTGTTGGAAGCAGTTGCAATTCTTCCACGGGGACCAAGGTTATAGGCAGGTCTCGTGGAGGTTCCAGGCCCAGATCCCTCAAGACGCTGCGGGTCGCCTCCAACTGTTAGTGCATGGGTCCTGCTATCTCGAAACGCCATCAATCTGAAGGGAAAACCCCTTGCATATCAGATCTCTTCCCTGCGTAAGGCCTCGGTGATCGGTTTCCAGACTCTCCAGCGTTGAAGTGTGCTGGGGGCCTGGTACAGCGTGACGTCCGCTCCCCCATATGCAATGGGACCTTCTCTGCCTTTCCGGAGGACTGCTTCTTTTGTTGGATAGTGAAGAAATTTTACAATGATGTCTCTCGGTGAATTAACCTCAAGACGGCGTGTCCGGAGTGCTCTGTGTGCCCTCTCGATCTGCCATAGGTTATCCAAAATATCAGACAACAAGGGCTTAAATATGGTGAGTATGAGGTCTGTGAGGGGCACTTCACTCTCCCGTTCTGGCAGGCCCCGGATATGTAAATTATTACGGCGAGACCTGTTTGCGATGTCCTCCAGGGCCAGGTCTGCCTCCACCAGACGCGTCGTGAGCGTATTAACTTGAGCCACCATCTCGTTATGCGCCCTCGTGGTCACCTCCATGCGTTCCTTGAGATGCCCGGTTCTCGTTCCCAAGGCCTGGATCTCACTTTGCAGGACAGACGTGGATTTCACGATCTCTCCCGCTAAGAAGGTTTTCACTTCAGCGAGCTTCCCCAATATCTGTGCGGTGTCACACTTGGGTGATCCTGGACCCGTAGGGCCAACCCTGCCGCCATCTTGGTCCGTCGTCGCACCCAACTTGGATGCAGTCAGCAAGTCCATAACAGTGGCCTTGGTCTCCGCACCCTTCTTAGGCACTTCCTGGGAGTTCCGTTTGTCCATTTTCAGGTGGGTGTCTAGTTTATTTTCGCTTATGTAGGCTTAATGCAGTGTTAGTGGAGCGGAGCTTCACGCACCCACGTCCAGCTCGCTCCGAGGTTAGGTCACGCCCCCTAAACCAAACCCTTTTATATAGGGATTGGGAATGGGGTTTACAATATTTCAACAATATTTTTTTTAGTGCCCATATACCTGTTTCAGATGAGCAGCTTGATTTTCAGAGCATAAAATTGTGCTATTTCTTTAAAAAGAATTTTTTTAAAAAAGGCACAGTTATATAAGATATAACTTACTGAATAGCAATTTGATATGGGGAACAATAAATAAAAAAGTGTGACTTATTTTAAAATGGTCAAAATGAACACTTGT